GGACACAAATATTTTTTTATAGCATCTTTGGTTCCCTGGTTCCCACATCAGACGTGGCAGTTGCCGCATTTGGCGTCCTTGCACAGCGGGGTCCCAACGCTCTCCGTCTGTGCGCCGCGACGGCGCGCAACATCCCTGGCTTCGATCTGCCAGTTATGAAGGGTACAGGATGGTACCCCCCAGTGATGTGAATGTTGGTTGGAATAAACCCCCTGAATACTAGTTCGTTATATCTGCCATAAACAATAGTGAAATTGGAGTTATGTGGCCCCCAACTTATCTAACGAACTGGGGCACCAGTTTGTATTTTGCTATTTCCATGTACGGGCTATCCATGACTACGTAATGTTTTGGAGTAAGATGAGCCAATGACATCAAAATTGGATCACCTACAGATGTCTGCTGTGGATGAACTAATGGGTACAACTGGTAGAAATGAATCGATCCAGGACGAAACCAAGGTTTCTGATTTCGAAGGATTGTTTAACTATTTTTCTTACTGGTGCTTAGCAGGGAATGATGGGACTGGGGGAATGGTTAACATAGGTTAACATAGGTTAATATATGGTTAACATATCCTCTCAGAAACTCTAGTTGATCTGGTTGGTGGTCTTAACCATCTTGCAAAATGAAAGTCAATGGGAAGGATTATCCCAATCCCATATATTATGGAAAATAAAAAATGATCCAAACCACCAACCGAACTATTTTTGGGAAGGAATAAGTTCCAACCTGAAAGCACGCACACACACACACACAGAAACCTCATTTGGTGATCTTTAAGCGGCTTCGCCCATCGTTTCAGCACATTGTTTCACGGTGGGAAAAAGATGATTCTAGTGCATCTCATGGCTATGGGAGTTCTCTAGTGCGCAGCGAACAGTTGATATTAGTTAGCTGATTCTATACCCAGATGCTCCATGTATGGAATATTTACCCACATTTGGGCAATTTTTGGGGTAAATGTAGGTAGAGATTCCATACATGGAGCATATGGGATAGATTAGGTGTGTTTGGGCGTTTCATGTCTTTCTGCTGTACTAAATACTTGTCCAATGTCGTGTCATCTCCAGTGAACTGCTCACAAGACGAACAAAAGAGACCTCATCACCACGATATCCGCCAGTCGAACATATGAACATATCCTTCGCCAAATTTGGCCAGGCTCAGTCCGGACGAAAAAAACTTTGCAGTACAATTCCCATATGCTCAATGCATGGAATATCTACCCACATTTACCCCAAAAATCAACCAAATGTAGGTAAATATTCCATACATGGAGCATCTGGGACTGGCTTCAGTGCCGGATCACTGTTTCAACACCGAAAGTTGCCCACTGAGTCCCACTTAGAAAAAAATCTCAGCGTGAAGTCATCATGCCATCACCCAGCTCAACCAGCCTGTGAGGCCGCCAAGGAAAAAACAACAAATTCGGACAAATGCAGAAGGTGTTTTCAAGAATCTGGTTGTAGCAAAAGGTGTCTCAGGTGTTGCCTCCAATATCTCACTAGAAATGCACTTTTGCTCTCAACTGCCTCCAAAAAAAGGATGAAATCTATTGAAATCTTAGAAAACTATTGGAACATCTTGAAACCATCAACCCAAAATTGCACCACCGGAGTCACAGCATTACCAGTCTGCTAGGAGGTGTCTGTACTACTTTCTGGCCAATGGCTATCAAGGGTGCAACGGGAGCCACTAACAATAGCATATATATGCATATATGATCTATGGATCGAACTGCACTTGTGGGGTTCAGCGAAATAACTGACCGAATTCGAGGTGCAAGAAACGAACCTGCTTCAAATTATTTGTTGTAGGTTGGACCTTCAAGTTGCAGTTGCAGTATCTACAGTGCTTGCTTGAATGGATGTGATGTTCAGAGCAGTCTTACTTCGATGGGCTGTCCACAAACAATTTGAACCTCAATGGTAGCGTTGCACGGCTGGTCTGGAGCAGAAACGTCCAAAACTGGCCTTGCAATTCCAACAACAGTCAGACAAGACATTAGCAAGGAAAATTGTATTGACGTCACAGTTGGTCAGCCCTGATCCATGTCTATCTTATGATTCTCAACGGATGGGTTTAAGGGAAAATCTTAACCGAAAACCAAAGATTTTCCCATTGGATATGGGGCTTAAGCCAGTAAAAAACCCTTGAACCAATCCATTGACATTCTTGTTCAAATACCGTCTTGCTATATTAAGCATGCTTTCCAGATCAAGACAGTGGTAAACCATACTCAAGTGGAAGATTACCAGTCTGATTGCTCCCCAGGACTTTGTCATTTTGTCCTCCAACATCTATATCATTCCCGGCAAAGTGGTGCTCCCTAGCTACAAGTTGCTTATTATAATTATAAACCCATAATCTAATATGTATGTCATCATCATAAACCATAGTAAGCATAGTTAATCTAGTTATAAACAAACTCAGCTAACTATGGGGTTTCAATTTATACCTAGTTTATACCCAAAAGCCAAAGTGCAAAAGTACCAAACAGCCGTTTGGTGGAATCTATGCTGCCCAAGTTAGACATCCCTGAAAGCCAAAGGGTACACGTCCATGGGCATCAGTGCTGCAACGAACAAGGTGTAGTCAACCGTGCCTCGGAATAGGAAATTCATACGCTGGATGGACTACAAGCCGTTCCAAAAACAAGTGGTAATGATTATAATGGCAAACATTTAAAAAAAAACTGTGCATAATTTTGCTTAAGAAGGGTTTCAAGTTTGGACAAATCCAAATAAATATCCCATTAACTGCTGAACACATGTTCAAAAACAAACAAGCTCATAGATGCGTCTCCCACTAACTATGTTTTTCCGTAACTGGCAGGTTTTCATTTTTAAAGGATAAACCTAGCTTCGATCTTTTTCCATGTCTTTAACGCCCAAAGAAATCATGTTTGCTGATCAAAACACCACATTTTGGTTGTGACCAACCCAAAAAAATCAAACCAAATTCCATTGTTTACTGATGAATTGCCACCATTTTTGCAGGGACGAGACCGACCTCATGTGCTTGAGAAACTCAAGCAGTATCTCCTTGGCTCCCTACTAAAGAAAGTAAATGTGAACACAAGCGCTGCTCCGAGCCGCTCCCTCCATTCACCACTTGAAACTTTGTCCATTCCCAAAGTCATGTCCTAATATTCAGTGATTGATTAGCTTCTTACTTCACTGTTTCACCATACTTCACTCTGACTTCAGTTAGAAGTTCGCTGGATTGTAGTTTCACCCACAAACAAATACTACACTAGTTCGTTATAAACATATTCATAGTCACAATATAGTGAATTATTAGCGTCAACTATCAACCCAAGTAGCTACAGGATGGTGCCCCCCAATTACATCTGCCATAAACATCCATAAACCATAGCATTACCCGGCCTGGTAAACAGCCACGCAACAAAACGATGGAAAGATCCACCATGCGATTTTCATGGGTAAATCCACGAACTTTCGACTGGGTCATTTTCAATAGCTATGCTAGTCATTACCAGAGGGTATAACCTCCATTTTCCTATGGTTTTCCTATGGTTTGTCCTGCCATAAACCATAGCAGCCATAGCATTATATCTCAACTGACATTCGTCTCCAAGATGCCAGTCTTTGTGGCATCGAGTTTCTCCACCAACACGTCCAGCTCCGTGAGGCTGACTAACTCCTCCGCGCAGGATGCTCCGGAGCGGCAACAAAAAACATGGATAAATGACTTGGAAACATAGAAAAAAACATAGGAAAATAAATTATTTAAAGATTTTGGAATGTGAATTCTGGATATTTTTGGAAGAATTTGCGACGACTCATGGAGGTTTAAGGGTCATTGGTAGAAATTGACCAGACATGAAGGTGGTTTCTTGATTTTGAAGCAAGAGAACAATAGAGGTTGAAGCCAAACAGTGGCTAGAAACTATAGTGTAAGCTAAAATCAGCGACAAGAAAAATTACTTTACTTCGTGTGATCCCCACCATGACATTTATACATTTTCTTACTGGCAAATCTTCTGGCATTCTATCTGACATATCTTCTGACATTCTATTTGGCATTCTATCTGGCATATCTTCTGGCATATGACCTGGCATATCTTCTGGCATATCTTCTGGCATTCTATCTGGCAAATCTTCTGGCATTCTATCTGGCATATCTTCTGGCACTCTATCTGACATATCTTCTGGCATTCAATCTGGCATTCTATCTGGCATATCTTCTGGCATATATTCTGACATATCTTCTGCCTTCTATCTGACATATCTTCTGGCATATATTCTGACATATCTCCTGGCATATCTTCCTACATGAGGTCCGGCAGGGAACACTTGGCATGGATACTCGCGGTTGAGGTCCGGCAGGGAACACTTGGCATGGATACTCGCAGATGAGGCCCGGCAGGGAACACTGGGCGTGGCTGGTCGTGGTTGAGGTCCGGCAGGGAACACTGGGCGTGGCTGGTCGTGGTTGAGGTCCGGCAGGGAACACTGGGCGTGGATGGTCGTGGTTGAGGTCCGGCAGAGAACACTGTGGATCGCGGGTCGCAGTTGGACGAGGACGACGAAGACGACAAGGACGACAAGGAGGACGAGGAGGACGAGGAGGACGAGGAGGAGAGGAGGAGGAGGACGAGGAGGAGGAGGAGGACGAGGCAGGAGGAGGCAACTGACATAAAATCTAACAACCCTCACCTGGCAGGTGGGGAACAAGGAATCTGTGACGTTCTAGCCATGCTAACAACCCATACTGAGCATGTGCAGCTATGAGCATGTTTTTTCAACACCCACAGCAGAATATCAAGTGATGAATCAGCATGTGTATATTACTCACTGGGAATCATCTCATCCCCCATTCACATGATCCCAGTCATATGTAGTTTCATCCCCTACCAAAAAAAACACATGGTTTCTGGGGACTGTTGCAAATGAATGGGAGAACGGATTCACTTTCAGATGTCTCCAAATAGTGAGGCAAGAACTGTCCGTAGCTTCCAGCAGCATGGCACGTTTTTTCCGCCGCATGACTCACATGCGCGCAGCAGCTGGAGGATTGCCCGTGTCCTAGGGGCAATCGCTGGGGACTTCTGGGTTCCCCAGCAAAAAGCATCCGCTTTTTCGCCAGGGAATCCAGTCAATATATACCTCTATCTATATCTAATTACCTGCTTCATGAATGTTGCATATGGAATAGTCTAATAAGCTGGATTAATGTTAATTCATGTATATATATCATATATATATATTATATCATCTGGATGATATAATTGTCGTCAATCCTAAACCATTTACTGACCACTTGGAAAAGAATCAAGGTCAGCCATCGCGAAGGTCTGGGGTCTCTGAATTGGATCTTCAATCAAAAGGAATTCCAGGATCCTAGAATGGGGGTACTGTAGGGGATATTCCCTTACATAGGCCTTATATAGGCCTTGTATATGGTAGGTACCTCCAATTTAGGTTCCTGAGATGGCCAGTGATTCAATGTGTAAAAACTGGTGAACACAATATGGGTTTCTCAGCATGGTTGAGGAGGAGAACACGCTGCTTCACTGGAAAATGATAGGAAATCCTGAAAATTAGATACTTGATCATCAGTTGGCAATTTGACAGCCATAATATTGGGGTAGTAGTATTACGGTATAGCAACTTTATGGTCGCTAAAATAAAGCCTCAAAACTTGATTTTCCTCACTAACCCATCTTCCATTCTTTCATGCTCTTTCATTGAATCACTATCTTTGCTGCTAAGAATTCCCCATTATTCACTTCAAACGGGGAAGAAATGGCCTGAATAACAGGGCTTGGTAACTGTCCCATTTTGGGAATATTGGACATCACCTTATAGTAGCCATTATAGACCATATACCTAATGGTTGGGTGATGTTCAATGGGGACATTTAATGACCCATGAATAATGTGTTAAGACCAAGAATCAACATGAATCATCCCAAATAGCGGTATACCCAAAGCATATACATATATATATATGATATTATATTATGATATATATATATATAATATGTATTACAATATATTACTATATATAACATATAACACTAACAAACCTCTATTTGGGATAGTAAAAATGTTTGGCTTTACCGCTGGAAACCACACGACCTGCTGCCGCTATGGGAAAAAAACAAACCCTCTGGCCTTCCACCTTCGAATGGCCGTGAACACCGCCGCGGCCTCCTCCAAACCGCCGGCCGCCTGAAAGGCCGTGGGATGCTCATGGGATTTCATGGGATTATAAAGTGGGATAACATGGATTATAAATGGGCATTATACGGATATAATTGATTTAAACGCACTTTTAAGAGGATTTCATGGGATGTTCATGGGATCTGAATGGAATTTTGCTGGCATTTTTGAGGGATATCCACGAAAGAAAAGAACCATGGTTTGTTTAGCTTGAAAACTGTCTATTGAACATGTTTATCTTGATCCTCATTGTCAAAATACAATAAGCATTGTTTGTAGTCAAATTCTCATCTTGACATATTCGAAATCAAAGAATATCATCAAACGACTGTAATTGATGTGGGAGTCACTACAGTGTGTGGCAGAAGATGAGCAAACAAGCGCAAATAAACTCCAAAAGAATAGGGTTGACCATGGCTGAGGTTGGTGTTTCTGAAAGTTACTTGGATCTTACAGTCTTTCACTTCGATGCACTCCCAACATAGACTTAATTCTATAGTGGTTGGTTAGTAGTTATTCCTACGGTTTATAATAATCCACATTAAACCAGATAGTATAATCCCCGTAATCCCATTTAACAGGGAAATTGCATGAATTTAGAAGTTTAACAAGGAAATTTCATGATCTTTGATTACTGTAAGTTGTGGCATCCAAGTTTGAAAAGCGACGAGACGATCGCGCTGCTTTTCATCACCAAAGCCCTGTGGAGCAGCTGGAGGATGAGTCGAACAAGTAATTAATTTCCAAGGCCATCAAATAAGAACGACAGGTGACGGGAAAAAACTTAAGAATTTGAACAACATTCGATTCTGTATTCTAATGAAATTATTCTGTTCTATGTTCAAGGAATAGATTCTATTTAGTTCAATATCGTTATGTTTTTGTTTCCAAAGACTACATTCTATATTCAAACAAAATCAAAGCCTGGTTTCAAAGATGCAGAACTGATAATCGGATATATAAATCATGTCTCCTCACATGAAACTTGGCCCCAAACCCAGACCAACTCATCCAACCAGAATCCTCGTCTCCCAGTTTCATGTGGTCCAGAAGTTGATGTATAAATATCCCATAAAAAACATCCATTGACTAGTTCGTGATACCTATCACAAACCATAGCTATTGGAGTTACCCTCTGGTAATTTAACATAACATAACCTTAGCACGTTCACAACGCAGAACGCAAAACGTACGTTCCGGAACGCGTGTTCCGAACGCAGGGGTGTTTTTAGTGGTTTTATGGATCCCAGAAGCGTCCGAATTGCTCCCTGCAAAAAGGATCCGCTGTGTCACATAGTATTTTTCAGAAAATGTTCAAAGTCTTCTCAGACCCCTGTTAAGAGCACTACGATAAAATTTGTGAGGAGTCAGAACATTTTTCTTTCAGAGAAAAAAAGGATCCGGGAAGGAAACCTAACTTGCCCCACAAGCCTGGTGAGACCAGAACCTTTTTTGCCTCACCCAAAAAGGATCCGGAGTTGGGAAGATCAACTTTCTGGTGGCTTCATACACAACTTTGAGCCCACAAGAGCTCCACATCCTTTTTTTTAGTGGGGGAAAAAGGTTTCTCTGTTCAAACCCCGGAAATAAATTGACTTTATATCATTGGAAAAAAGGATTCACTCAGAACGCGCGTTCTGGAACGCGAGTTTTTAAAACGCGCGTTCTGAACGCCCAAACGTACCGAACGAACATGCTAAGAACAAAACAGAACTATGGAAAATCACCATGTTTCATGGGAAAATTCATTATTTCTATGGTGATTTTCCATAGTTATGTTAAATTACCAGGGGGTATGTGGCCCCCAACTTGGTAATTGGAAAAATGAGGCCGTGTCAGCCTGTTGCACCTCAGGTACATCCCATCGCAGGAATGGATTGGTTGCCTTCCTGACAGCGCGGAACCGCCGGCGCTGGAGTCGTTCATGGGGCTTCAAAGACTGCCCCCAAAAGGGGACCCCCCTAGTGATAGCAAATATATAGATATATATATATATATATATCATATATATATATATATCCTTATCAGTGGTTGAAGAGGTGGTAAAAAAGACATTCATAAACCCTTGTTCTTCGTGGGGGGTCTGCTTTGGGAAGGAGTTGGCCCTATGAAGAATGAAGCCAATAACGACGAGTGGATGACTGACTGATGGATCGATCTCACCTGTGACGACTGAAGCTTTTTGCCAGTGGGAAATAAAGAATGATGTGAAACCAGCAATCAATTCATTGATACCCAGATCATAGCCCAGGCTCAGCCATGTCTAAACCTCATTTTCATTGTTCTGCCCATTTTTCTGGTTAAATCATCATCATTTCGCGTCTTTGTTAGTCAAATTTAATCACCATGTCTTTCTGGTAACGACACTTCATTCCCAATATTTTGATGCTTACATATTCACCAAACTGGAGTGTATATATATAATATAATCCAGTTAAAAAAAACATAATTCAACACATATTGTATAAATAATCACAAACTGGTTTGTAGTATGTCTTAGGCAATCATTTGCAATCATATTATAAATGATAACCATGCAACAAATTACACAGTTATGGCCATTTATTAGTTGTCACTGGTGAAGGGCCATAACCGCATAGCTATTGGAATTATCCCCTTTATAGTTGATTTCCCTAGTACAGATGGTGATGTTCCATAGTTATGTTAGTTAACCAGAGGGTACATTAAATCTTTTTGGGCAAAGCCTCCTGGGATTTCTGCACCCAGCGTCTCATGCGCCATCAGCGTCGGCACCGTGGCCAGCTTTGCGGCACGCAGCCGCTGCACCTGCCCAGCAATATCCATGGACTTCGTCAATTGCTGAATTGTACACCCCTGCATATTAAAGAAAACATGTGAATATTTATATTTATATATATAATAGCTTTTGTATAGAGTAAATATATGTATAATATATATATACTGTGGATATATATGGATATATCACGATATATCATTTGCACTCATTTGCAACTTCCAGCGGGCGCACCGCGGCTTGGCGGGCCCTCAGCGCCGCGTTGCCGGGTTCAACCTGCCGGCGGCAGCCCAAAAAAGGTGAAGTTCAACGGGAAAGAAGGATAGGTTTGGAACCATTGAATTATCATTGTCTACTTACTGGTGCTTAGTGGGGAATGGATGGGAATGGGGGAATGGGATGATTATTGATAGTTATTATGGGTCATTCCCTCATTCCCTACTAAGCACCAGTAAGATTAGACATAAACCATCCGTTATAAATCCAATGGTTAATTCCACTTGGAGATGATTTTTTTCGCAACAAGTAGGTGTTTGTCAAACCATTGGATTATCACCATTGTGGGTTAACATAAACCATTGGATTTATAAACCATTGGATTTACCTAACATCAGGGGTTGGTCTGAAAAATACCTAGGTACTTCCAGATCCATGTTTTTTTTAAAAAAAAAAATCGTCCATTGGACGTAAGTGGGGTGACTCCCCCATGTTCAGTGACAAACCAATATGATGATGTAATCATATTCATAACAACGAACATGGGGTTCTTGATTGATGAATTAACCAATTGCAACAATGGAGAGAGACATGGAAGGGTGCCAAAAAGTCTTGACATCTTGGTCTAACGGTGGTGACTGCTACATGTGTAAGGATGTTCAAGGGCTACGTCTACGTGTTTGTTTCTTTGTTTGGGCAACATTCCAGTTTTCTGATGACCTTAGTTGGCTAAGCTTTCCATCTGCGTCCTGCTTTTCCCATCACCGCCTTCACGGCAAAGTCCACGTTGGCCGCCGTGTATTCGTGGGAGCAAAACCTCGAGGCTGGACACGGTTTCTGCGATAAGTGGGGCTATATTCGACATCAAAAGAACAAACCTATAGGATTAACATCTTAAGTTATAGAGTACTGACCGATAGACGATGTTCCATGATTTTTTCCCAGCGGATCCAGAGATGAACAGAAATCTTAATCCGAATCAATCCCCAAGACACTAAAATGACGTTAGTCATGGGCGATCAGCACCCTGAGCGGCCGACACCACGGTCTCATCCGGCAAGTTCCGCAACTTTCCCAGTGACGCCTGGTGCTGAAGTTTGAAGCTACACCACACGAAGCTGTAGACCAAAAGCATGTTGTCCCATCTGGGTACCTTTAGGCGTTAAATCAATGGAAATTTCAGGACCCTAAAATGTAGGTACGTTAGTACCATTTTTTAGGCCACATTTTCTGGGGATATTCCCTGAAATTTAGGCCTTATATATGGTAGGTACCTCCGATTGAGGTTCCTGAAATGGCCATTGATAAAATGGCTTTAAGATGCTTAGGGATAGCAACAGGGCATATCACTTTTGGATCACCTTTTGGAGGGCTTCACCAATTTCAAACAACAAAAAGGCCGGGGTAGATGATCACAGTGTACTACGTGGAAGACACATCCCCCTTCATGATAGAGATTCCATCTTCAATCCCAAACTCATCATGAGTTAAATTTAAATCTATGGAGTGGTATGTTTTTTTTGCCATTCATCGATATCAAGCCTGCAGTTATGGCCATTTATCAGTTATAAGTACTTATAACCCCATTTATAGAATGTATAATCCCACTTATAGCCAGCTATAACTGATAAATGGCCATAACTGCATGGGATTTTCGGCTCTTCCCCGATTTCCCAGATCTTTCGCCGCCTGCATCCGCGCGAAGTCCCCGGTGAAAACCCGACCGCAGCCCATGGTGAAGAGGGCATCGCCCGTCAGCGCCATGGGGACCTCCCGGCGCTGAACCAGCGGAGTTCAGCGGAAAAAACGGGGGAAAAACGTAGGCTTTTCATGAGATTTCACCGGTTGCTTGCATGAAGTTCCTTGGGAATTGGGGGAATGGGCTTTGAAATTATTGTTTATAGGGGTTATTCCCATTAAGTATCATTATATCCCATTAAACATTATTGTCATAGGGGTTTTTAATATGTTTACATGGGACTTAATGATACTTAATGGGGAGTTAAATGACATGTCATGTGATTGTTCATGGTCCCTAAACGACACCCTGCGATTCTGTTAAACGCTGGCGTCATTGCAACAGAAAATACTAAAATGGCCGTCTAAGTTTGACACAGTTTGTTGGGTCATGTTTGAATATGTTTGAAAGAAAAGGCGAATCAGGAAAATAACTAAAGACCATCTCTCATCTTCATAGGAAATGGTAAGTATACAAAAGTCATTGCCAAGGTCATCACAAACACAAAACCTGAATCATGCCGTGCCCACATTCCGTTCCAACAAGGATAAGAATCTTCCCACATAATGAAACAACCAAACCATAACCCCGTCGAACTGCTACAAGTATATCGAACATGACAAAGAGTCAGCCAAATTAAAGACTAAAACTTATACATATCATAATTTAAAACTCAATTCCCATGTTTGCTGCTTAAACAAAACCTTCGTCTTCCCTCCGTCTTCGGCCCCCTTTTTTGCGGTGATCCCATGACGCCTCCGGAAAGAAGTAAGCAATGTGGCTGGCAGTATGACCGCCCACCTCTAACCTGACCACCGGAGGCCACTGGACCGTCACGAAGCTGTAATCATGACCACCATTGACCAGTCCAGTTTTGTTGATTTGCCGAGGTAGTGAACATTTGCTGTGGCTTGTTTTAGGTGCACCATGCTGCTGCTGCCAAGTCACACTTGCGAGGTCAAAGCCTGAACTCTGACTGGGGCTGGTCTGATAAGTTGGATTTATTGTTCCATTTAATGTTGGTAAAAGAATAGTAAACCATCCCCAAAATCACCATAGATATCGAAATATCGGTGTTTTTAATGGTTTTATCTATGTTAAAGTGGATGACAAATAAAAAGAATTGGACCTCACAAGTACCAATCGCGATTGGATAACAGGAAATATGGGGTAACATACCATTTGTTCTGGGTACTTAGAGGGTCGAATCTAAAACTACCAGTTTCACCTGTGACATCTCAATGGAGTTCTGGACCGACCACTTGGTGGTTTCAACCCGTCTAAAAATGTGGATATTAGTGGGTATCTTAAAATATGTTTGAACAAAATAAATCACAAAAACGAAAGATCTGAAACCACCAAGCTCTTTTTTTAAAGGGTCACTGCAATGGAAAGCAGGGTCCGGCAGGAGATGGCTTGTACACCTCCTCTTCAGGACCAAGGTAACAACTTCCAGCCATGTTTGATGTTTTTTGGTTGCGGTATCAACTTCCCAGTCCCCCAAAGGTGTTTTTTTTCCCGATAATGATACAGTACAGGATGGTGCCCCCCAGTTATAAGTTGGCTTATAAACCCCATTAACTATAGTTATATCTGCCATAAACCATAGCTATGGGAGTTATAAACCAACTTATCTAACTATGGGGCACCACCTTGTATGGTACATTGGTTTAAAGTTGATTTTGCAATTTTGCATCGATGTTTTGGAACAGTCGTATGGAACCAATGAAACCATTTGATTAGAATTACCCTCTGGTTATTTAACATAGCCATGGAGAATGGCCCATTTTTGGATGATTTTCCCAGCTAGAAACCTCCATTTATGGTTGGGATTTTCTATGGCTACGTTAAATAACCAGAGGGTAGATCAAGACTTTAGAAACCACTGATGTTCCTTGATTTCCCAGCTATAGAGCTGCTAGAGCTAGAGGGAATATCAATATTTATTCATTCATATAGATATAATGGATATACAAAAAATATATGTATGTTGTTTTGTTACATGATATATATATATATACATATAAGTATATAAGTATATATATATATATACCTAGACGACCAAGTGATATGTTTTTTTCTTGTCGTATATTTTTCTGTTCGAATTCCAAATAAACATAACGAATTAGGATAAAACCTTCGAGGCCAAAAAATCTTCTCGATTTTGAGGGGTCCCAATCACCCAGATGCACAGCTCATGTGCGCATTGACCTCTTTGTCCTCATCGCTGACCGGACAAGCATCTTTTCTGCTGAGTTGGAGCCTAAGTTTCTCCTTCAAGGAAGTAACTTTTGTTAAACTTCTCTCCCCAAACACGACGGTAAAAACCAAGGGTTCGTTGAATTGTGTTCATCGCAGCCGTCCATGGGTGGGTTCTGCGTGAAACACGCGCCACCTTTCCTATGTAATCCTCATCTGCCCAAGTGCAGCTCACACTGGGCGACAGGATGTACTCAACTTGTTCATTTTCTAGCTCCCACTGAAGGTCCAGCCTAAGGGAGTAGCTGGTGGAATCATTCCAAAAAGAACGAACACACCTCAACACCCCAATAAAATATCGTTCATAAGGGAAGGATAGAAAACACATATATAATCTATCGAGAAACACAATGTGTGCCATCATGTGCAGCTTTGGTCGCAACTGATAAGCCCACCACCCCTCTCTGCAGCACAGGGCTGCAAGGGTGATGTACCCATCCTCATTTGTTTTTGACATAGATTTGGTGGGACAGCCCACCAAAAAAACATTTAACTTAAACTTAGTTTGGGGGCAAAAATAGAGGATGAGAATCCTGGGAAAACCATATGCACCCACCGTGAAAATATAGGGCTAAAAAGGATGAACACCTCCCAGGTTTTTGAATATAAGTCTAGGGGCGACAAACGCCCACCCATCTTTCACCAATTCTACGACAGTTGATCTTGGAAGCCAAATGCCATTGGTGTAGATGCAATGCCAAAACCGGTTGTTGGCGAGGCAGCTCCAATGAAGAACCTCGAAGATGTCTTTGAACTCCAAATCCTTAGATGGTGATTTGGGTTTAAGATGGTAAACAATATGAATCAATTTGATGAGAATTGGTGACTTTGTTGGCAACCACCGGATAAATAGATAATAAACTTTACCCACCAAAACATCGCCCAATCATGCAGTTTGGCTTAGGCTCGACGGGTGGAACATGCCGAATTTCTTCATCCAGCCACGCCCACAGAATGGCAGCATCATGTCCTTTGCCCAAGCCACGTGGCCAAGCGCGAAGCCTGGGCAACAAGGGGTATATGTTTAGTTTCATGATGGGTGGGCTGCTAAGGCAATACCATGTTCCAATCAAACAAACTATTCAGCTTAGAAGCGACCCTTGGGGCAGTTTCAACGTCTTGTAGCTGAATTCATAGATTGAAGTGCACTTGTTGTTCGAACGGCAGAATTCCATGAACCGAGAGTAAGCATTTTGCAGCTTCACTTCCGTTGTCCCAGGGCCCCATGCCCCCATGTGCATCAAGACCACAATGGAACTAGCCAAATAGCTCTTTCCAATGCCATCTATAGCATAGGTATGAGCTGGGTCGATACGTATGCACTTAGCATCATCTTTTATATACTGCAAATCCCGCAAAGGTGACCGTTTGGATGCTTTGAACGGATTTGGGTTGACATCCCAAGGCCGAAGCTGCCGCATAGATCCTTTCAGATCCCACCATTTCTCCTATTTGGTTTGCTAAGGGTTTTGGAAAAATAACAGAAATATTGGGGCCCCTGGCTCAACATTTAAAACTTGACATCAAAATTACTGAATTGATTTCAAAGGTCTCCCAAAGGACATCGGTGACATTTGTCTTTGCAGTTGTAGCCATTGTTCAAACCGCATGATGATCTCAAAAATGGCCAATCACCTTTGATGGATATCACGACAAAGCGGAACTTCAGAACTCGTCCCTTCCAAAGTACCTGGTCGAAGTGTGGAAACGATAGGTTGGTATCAAATAAACAAAGGGGATCAAAGGGGGAAACAACCCTTACAAAACTACAGGAACACATGTAATTTAATAAAACTAAAATCAGCCAATTTAACTTTGGAACTGTCAACCCATGTTGGCTGAGGCCGTTGAGATCATTGACCCATGCCACGAGAAGATCATTCAGCGTGTCTTGGCTATATGGCGCTGGGACCACTGTGTACAGGAGTCGACTGCAAAGGGTTTGCCTTAGATTGGCAAAATGATTTTTTCACCAGCTGATTCGACGTGGATTATTTTTTGAGGTAAGTATGATCAAATTGGGAGCTAAATAAAAATATTGTTCTATATCAACTAAAAAACCCGACCATATTGGATTTCCCTTCCTGCGTAGGTAGTAAAGTCTGAAGAGACATTACCAGGACTGGTTGTTTTAGCCGGCCCCTTCCTTCATCGCCATGTATGGCAAGTGGAACTGACAGTTTCCAGTCCGACTTGGGGACGTCACGAAAGAAACCCAAGTCCGGGTTGGATTGTTGGTACTTTGTCCAAAAATCCTCTAGCTGCACCCCAAACATATCCACCTCATCAAGGCTTTTTCCACCCAAGAAGAAGTGACCACCCATGTCCAAAATGCATTCGGCCCAGTCTGATAGGAACAGCACAGGGTACTTGCACTTGACTCTTTTCGGTTTCCTCCGAGACAAACGATACATAGTTGGGACCCGGGAGATTTTCACTGGTAGAACTTTCCCAAACTTTCGCGCTGTAGCATGCAAGTTCTGACAAATGTGGCTGTCCAACTTAGATTTGCCGCATTTCGCCATCTTGGCCAGTAGCGGGTCGGACATACCTGGGCAAGCAGTAGTGGATGGGTTTGACTTCTGGAATTGCCAAACAACTTGGTGAGGGAAAGGAATTTCAAAGCATGTTTTTTTTTAATCGTTTGTTGACACCTAGATAAAGCGAGTCACCTTTTCGCTTGAGGCGGTTGTGGGCAACCTTTGCTAGTCGTACCACACGACAAGCTGATTCAGCCTTAGATGATACACTATGGCCATTCTGAATCAAACAAAGTTCAGAATCATGAATATAGAATCATCCGTTATCACTTAACTATAGTTATATGTTCTATTATGTTATATTTCACACCAAGAAACACCCTCCTCGAATCCCACCAGCAGCTCGTCTGCAAGGTCATCATCTTCATCCGGGATTGGCCGCCCACCTCCAGGGCAGGTGGCAGAGGCAAAGAACTTGGGAGAAGAGACATTGATAGTATTTGATAGTCAATAGTTGGGCATACCACCAAAAACTAGCCTGGGTCATCGATACGAGATGTGAAGAGCCCTTCTCGAGAAGAGCCTGCGTGGGAGTGGCGTGATAACAATTTGTTTCCTACTTTTTGTGAGCAGACCCTCCAAGTAGAATCAAGTAGATATATAGAAAATTTGGCATTATTGCATTATATTAATTTTGGACCTTACCAATCTCTCTATGGGTACTTGGAGTGTCCAAGAATCTAGCTGCAACACTGGCAAGTCAGATTGGATTCGTGAATCATGCCTCTAAAGCTCCTGGCTGGCAACGGTTTCCTCTCAATTTGTCAATGCTACTCGCACACCTAAGACATATATTTGATATCTTTATGATATCACAGTGAGTCCCACACATGGGAAGAAACCCAGTCAAAAAGCGGTTGCCGCATGCAGCCTGCACAAACTCTTCCAATAACCAAGCGAGGGCATCAGAGAGGTGGACTATTAACGTATATGTTTGGTCCAACATGGTTTAACATATAATGAAGTACTGGCTGCATATGCAACATCACCCCAACGTAATCAACTTCTTGGATCACGCTTCAAAGCTGGTTTTCTAGGAAACATTTTGGGAGGATCCACGTGCTTTGCCCTTGGAATCCTTTCTGGTCGGCTTTTTGCCAGAAGAAGCTTTCGGCTTCGGGGTCGACTTGGCACTCGCTCCCTTGACATTCCTTCGCCAGGCAGCAGGGAAGAAGAGTTCCAGAAGTGATTTCCCAAAATTTGCCACATGAGCCAGTCCGGGTCCTGGCTCGCACCACGATGTTGTTCAAGGCAACATCTGCACGAGTGCAGTTGGCGCACAGCTGCAGGATAGCCTTCGTTTGGTCTGGCCTCCAATTAATCCAAAAAAGTAGGTCTGCGAGAGATAGGGGTGTAACGATTGTGATATTTGTCTGACAATTGAGATTAAACCAGTGCCTCGCTGAGCGTGAAACAGCGACTTCGGCTTGAAATGCTTCCAGCTTCTGGTAGAGATCTTTCAACACATTGACTTGCCCAGTAAGCTGGGACGACATCCTCAATGCCATCAAAAAGACATTTTTTTGAATAAGTACTACCAATTGTGGGTCAGCTCAAGTTCAATCATTGCCCCATCAAAGAGCGGGGGCTGAGGTTCAAGCTCCTTCGCCTGAATTGTCTGGACCTTGTCCAACTTCTCCTGGTTTGCAGGAAGGGGTTTGTATTGATGAGACGTGATGGGAGTTTGTTGAAAAAAAAACTAGATAAATATGAATCAAACCACTGGGCTATTGAAAGGTGATTGAATTGTTTTCTGCTGTGGCCACTCCTGAATGGCCGAACAGTTATCAATCTTGTTGCCAAGGACTTGAAGCCAAGTAGGTAGGATTGCAATTGCACTCGCGTTCTCTTGGATGGCTGGAAACGTGAGCCTTATCATCAACAAGGGCTCATGAGTCAACAGAGAGAATTTCAATTCATGCATTCCCGTGAAAAAATGGCCAAGCAACTTAAAGGACCCTGAGCTGTTGGCAGCTTGAACCTCAGGCGTCACAGCTTCGTGGCCTCGCTGAAGGAGTTGAGCATCAGTCAGGCCGGACAGTTCGTCGTCATACATCCTTCCCTCAGGATCCTGAGATTGAGATGGCCCGTGATGGAAGTTTCAAGTGTATTTTATCTTGAGGTTGCATATTATATGTTTTATAGTAACTCCTGAATCGCATTTGAGTGTAGCATGTCGGTACACTGTTTTGCATTTACGACACGCCCCCCCCGACAAACAATGAGTCAAGCAAGAAACTTTGACAGTCAAGCGCTGGCATGACTGTCTGACTTCAAGGTCTTCCTCTTCCCAATTGAATCCTTCACTTAACACCAACTTGGCCTCTTGTTCTCCATGAATCTCGTTAGTCCTGGTCAGGCCATGCCTGGCAGCGTACTCGAACGCTGTGTCGCACATCTTCCTGAGGCGAATGGCTGTGGAATGTGCTTACTAAGGTTACTAGGGGCAGCTGGGCTGTTGCAATCTCACTGAAGTGATTGAAGACTTGAAGAAAAATAATATGTTTTAGTCTAAGGATCTTGGTCCAGTTCTCGGACTGCATAAGAAAGTGACGGGTTACCCACTTGCCATCCCTCTTCTTTCTGAATGCAGTGCTTTGCATTTTCTGAATGTGCAAATCAACTTGGGGCAGACTGTGGCCGTTGTCCACCAAGAGCTTTCGAATTTGCTTCCCTTAGGGACCACAGAAAGGGTAGAAAACTGGAGAACAGTGGGGTGTAGAACAGTCGCTGTAGACTCATAATGCTTGACTAAATTCAAACTAATCACTTCCATCCCTTGTTCCAAACAGCTTCATGATCTCCGCAGAGGCCTTCTTGGACTTCACATAGCGGCGCACCCTGCAAGAACAACCGAATCAGAAATAAACAGATCAATGGTTGATGCATGCAAATACTTTTTTCTTGCAAACCCCACAGCTTTGAACATGTTGTGTTCATGTTTCAAACCCACCCCCATCCTTCAGTCCTGTAGTAGTGAGCATCCTTGACCTCTGGGCCCTCCTTCTCGGGAGCGACAGCGCCTCCGAAGTTGGCAGGCTCCTCACCCTCATGATCGCCCTCTTCGTCATCATCAGCATAGATGTTCAGGCAGGGTTCAGCTGGCTCGTGACAAGGGGACAATGTCAAATTGGATCTTGACTGAGCATCTTGAAAGAAGGTTTTTGGAGGGGATGAATCCACAAGAGTGGCTGTCGACCCAGCCCGCAGAAAGCTTTTAGCATTGGACCTTGCCAGTCCTGGAATCGAATCATCCACCTTCTGCCCAGCAACAAAGTGTCCCTCATTGTGGGCAGTAACAGGGGCACCTAGGATGCTGAAACAAAACAAGTTGAGATGAGGATAATACGATCAGTTCATCACCTATATATGACACATCAAAGTATAGTGCGTAAAAACTTTGTAATAAGAGGAGGCACCATCAACCATAGAGGGTTCCCGGGTCAAAGCTGGCTGTGAATTACCCATGGCAAGCATCAACTTGTTGATCTTCTCTTGCTGAGCCTTAGAAAGATGAGATCATAGGAAGGGCTCTTGGGGAAGCGTTGAGATGTTCTATGAAAAGTGGACAGCTGACATGTAATCCCTTATAAGATTAAGATTGGCACTTTAATCATCTCATCCAGGTTCAAATTCCCTTGCTGTGGCTCAGTGGTGTTGTGTCCCAAAAGCTCGGTCGCTGCCATGAGGGTTTCGCAAGAAGTGTTTGGACGATCAGCCATTCAGAACTGCAACTCTCCTATTTGACCGGATCCAAATGCTGAGGTTAGACACGTCAAAACAGCTGAAATCCCAAAATGCTCCGATTTGTTCCGATTTTGTTCCGATTTTCTCCACAATGGATCTCTAAATCCGATTCCGACTAGGCAAAACACAAAAAACTGACGTTTTCCGATCCTATGCTGGCAAAAACTGGTCCGAAACTACAAGATTTCAAAAGTTGCGCCGAGTTGCGGGAAAGTTGCGTCGAGTTGCGCAAAAGTTGCGCCGAGTTGCGCTTCATTTTTTCCCGATAAATGGCATTTTTTTGGTCATGTGGCTATTCCGACATGCCGAATTGTAAATCTCTACGATTTATTTTCCGAATTTCATTCAGATTGTCCGATTTTCCGACTATCAATCCCAAATAGTCCAAAAGCACGCCCCGTGAAGGCTAAAGCCTCAGCCAGAGCTCGATTGAGCCAAGTCCTTAGATAATTGGACCATAACCCTGATGTATACCCCATTATACCCTCAAACCTATCAACATCAGATGCGTGTTGAAATATGTTAAAATAGGCTAAGCATCCCATTCTGCCTTGAATTGTTCCATCACTGGCTGCCATTCGACGGGAATCCTCCAGGGGGTGTATAATGATTGGGAAGCCGAATGGGAATTGATTTTGGCATGCACAAAGCTAGCACACCGTTTTTGGGGGTATAAATGGGATGAAATAAGTATATATAACCCATCCAATCCTGCAGTGCTTGCAGTTGTAGAGATAGTCAAAGGCATCCTTGACTTTAGCATCAGGCCAATCTTCAAATTCCATCTCTTGAAAGAGGGTAATCTCACTTGTCATCGGGTCAGGGGCCACATTCACACGAAGATCGCCATGTGCAGGTCTCTGGAACTGCTCCGTAATGACTTCGTGGATGGCTTCTCCAAGGCCAGAAGGATAAGCCCTGGGCAGGCTTGGTCAGGCATTCTGTAAAGTACAGTTGGATGGATCTTCTACAGGGTACGAAGATTGAAGGTGCGAAGAAGCACCCTTACGCATGGTATGTAAGGTGAATGAATGTGAAGATAATATATAATATAAAGTGCCATTGTCAATAGCAGCATGTTAAAAAAATAAACAAGTCAAGATTCTGTGTGCTCTTCAAAGCTTTCTTTATGCCAGTGAATCGACGTTTTCCCTGGCGATCAAAATATCGACCTGATCAACATGGCCAGTTGAAAGAATTCGACGATTGATTCATGCGACAACTAAAGACTGCTACACATGTTTTTTAAACCTCAATTTTGTTTTTCCCTGGAAAACAAAGCCAGGGTACGTGTGGTGATAAGTTTGGTACGCTTCTGGCGCTTTCTGCGGGTAAGCTTTCCTTTGTTCAGACGATTCATACTACTCAAATTACCCATCATCATCGTCGGCTTGGCGCTTTTCGAGCCATGAAGTTGCATCCAGAAGTGCTTCACCACAAACACCTAAGCTAGCTGGTATAATCTTCTAGTTGGATTCTGTATATCTTGTTGCTTCCAAAATTAAAAAAAAACAATGTACAAGCCCAAGGTTCCCATGAAATACGGTTGCAAAGGTATTGCCATCTCCGATGCAGGTAAAGGAGCGACTGAGCTGGCTGTTCTACTAAGTAGAAACAGTTCCGACTTAGAATGAGAAGAATGCATAGAACCATCCTGAGTAAATTTGGTGTCATGGATGTTGTATACGACTTGCCCATTCTGTTTATTTTTCAAGCACGCTGTGCATCAACACTTCAAACTGCATGCTGGGCTCCGTGATACCATACAATTTCCGCGGTTAACAAAAGACCTCCATGCAAACCCATGTGGGTTTATCACTGACCTGCCCGATGTGGATCTTGCTGGCAGGCCCCACGACGAGCAATCAGGCGCGAAGAGCGTGAGGGCAAAGGGCGCCTGGTTCTCGATGGTGTGAAGCGTCAACCTCAAAGGACAAAGGGAAAGCCCATGTGGACCCTAAGGGATCAGTTTAAGGGAACATTCAAACAAGGGACAGCCACCCTGAGTTCTCCAAGAAGTTCATGTGTCGTGGTGAATAGGTCAGGTCGATGCTGGAAACGTGGTACCCAAGTTCATGCCTCACAAGAAGATTTGAGAAAAGGATGCCCCAATATCCAATCAGATCAGTCAGGATTTTGCAGGTTATTATGACACTTGCCACAATTGTTTGTGGTTTTGTTGGAATCTAGGAAGCTGGCAGTTTCTTTGAAACCGCCCCTTCTCCACTAAAAACCTCCGTCACATTGTACCCAGCATCCCAAGTGAGCTTGCAGTGCCACTGGAGACACAACACCTCGATGCACATGCAATGATTGACATGGTACATATTATATAGTTCCATTTGTTTCATAGATTATATGCATATACAAATTCATTCTAAGAACCACACCAGTGCGACAAACACCTGGGAATAGGGCTCAAAGAACCAGTAGCATGATACTGTGGCACATGCCAGGTTGGGCTGACAACTTGTACAAGTGTATCCATACATATACCATAAGTGCCTGACTTTTGGCGCACGTACTTGGATCAATCTTCGCACCGTATCTTTTCTAGCCATTGGGGATCTACTAACGGAGCAGCAAAAGGCGTGCTGTGCCAAAAACAGCTATAGCAAATGAAAGTTGCTAATCCCAATCCGTGTATACCCATGTGCAGATGCGTTTGAAACATGCACAATAGAAAAAACCTTGAAAGCTGGAAGGCACATGGAGGCGGGCACCTGCTAACTGAGCCCGAACCATCCATCCCATAGCATCGATCAGCACACCTGCGTGGGATGAGCAACGGGTTTTTAAAAAGTATGCTAAAAGTATGCAACTGTTTTTTTTAAGTATGCTATACTGATGTTTTTGTTGTGAAGCGTGTTGCAAAGTTAAGCAGGGCTCCATTTTCAACACGGACACACCGAGAGCTACCCTGAAGGGTCGCCGAGGCCAGATCCTAAGGCCCCGGGTGACCAAGATCAAAGAATTGATCAGACCAGTCACGTGTTTCTTGAGTAGCGCTGTGGCTTTAAACTCTCCCGTGACCCCCAAGCCCCAACTCATCAAGCAACTTCTGACAACATTTTTTCTTTGAGGTCTAGACTCTATTCCTTTGTTGATCCTACTGGCTACCACAGAAACTTTCATGGGAAAACACCGGGTTCCATGGCCAAAAGTCTTAGCTCGACCGGCTCACTCAGCGTCTTTGTATGCCTTAATCCCCAGAGATAAGCCCGCTTGGGTGCTTCCAAAAGTTACCACAAAATCATTGTGAAATTTGCGCGCGTGAAAGTCATGAACCAAATTGTAAATCAACAAATGTTGCCAAAGTACCTTTCGCCCTGCGGCTTTGCACGCGTCATCATCTAATCCTTCATCCTTTGCCTTCTTGTAGGCCTGCCTGTATGCCAGGGACTTGCGCGCATTTTTCTGCTTCTGCTGAAGCTTCTTGTCATCCACTGTGCTGCCTTCTGCTTTGCTGCTGCCTGCTGACTGACTTTCAGCCTTTGCGCGGGTGGACTTGGTAGCGTTACCTTTCTTGGTTGGCTTGCTCTTAGCTTTGCCTACTGGGCTTGTTGATGCTTCAGCTGGGGCCGAGGTTGGTGCCAACTTACCTTTCTTCTTCTTGCCTGGGGCCTTTGACTTTGGTGCTGGACTGTCATCCTGCTCAACTGCCTCAGCCTCTGTTGTTTTCTCAACTTTCTGTGCTTTGCGACTCTTCTTTGCCATGCGTTTTCTTGGTGCCTTTGCTTCTGCGACTTCTGCGTGTGTGCTGTCATCCTTTGCATCTGAACCTGAAGCTGTTGTGTCTCCAGTGTCCTCCACCACCGGTGCTGCTTTGGGTGCTGTTGTGTTTTTGCTTCTGCGCCTCTTGCCTGTGTCATGGGCTGTCTGTTTGGCCTGGGACTTTGCTTTCGCCTTTGCCTTTGCCTTTGCTTTTGGTTTGGGTGCAGACTTAGCTTTGGGATTAGCTGCTCTAGCTTTGGGGGTTCCCTTCTTGCGTGGACGTCCCCTTTCTTTGTTTCCCTTCCCAACGGCTGCTGACTGCTCTGCAGGTGTTAGGCCACACATGGTAGCAACTGCTGCAGGTGTGTTCTCATGCTCATATGTTTCCTTTGCTTCTGCTTTAGATTTGGTATCCCCATTGCCTTTAGCATTAGGTAAGTACTCCAACGTTGCTGCATTGTGGAGCCCAGAATTGGAAGAAGTTGTCGAAGGGCCAGCTTCACGAGAATCGACCACCTTGCCGCTGGCAGGGTGTGTTGGGAAAGCTGTTTGAATAAAGCTAAACTTTGCAACACGCAAATTAATATATTCTGTATGTGTGATAGTCATTTTAAATGAAATTCCGAGAATGTGCAAACACAAAAAACATAAATTGTTGAATCGGCCCTATACCTAAAGAAAAAACCCATCACCCAAACCATCCTGTATCCATCCACCATTTTGCCTTGGCAGACTTGGCACGTCGTGGAGAATCATGGAAAACAGGACTCTTGTTGACCTGCTTGGTCTCCGGGGTTGGCTGGGCCGCCAGGGCTTCATACACTGCAATCTCCACTTCATCCATGACTTGGGTCTCCAGATTGTCAGTACCTTAGGTAAGGCAGATCATAAGGGGAGTGGACCCACGGTATCATAGCATATCATGGTGTGCCATAGTTGCACCGCACATTGTTTGACCTGACTAAATTCAATCTAGAAACCAGTATTGGTGCCATTGACAGCTTTGCTCTTTTGCTGCATCAACGATTGCATGTTCTCACGTTCAACTTGCAACTGTTTCATCAACTTGAGTCGGTTGAGCTCCAACTCCGCCATGCGCAAGTCCAAGTATGCATTGGCCTCTTCAGGAGACGGATCCCTTGGAGGTGGCGTTCCCTCAGACTCGGACCCAGGCGGGGAGATTCTGCCTGGGCAAACCTCTTTCGAAAAGGTTTCGGCACAGTCACTCAAGCAATGACAGTTTCCACACCTGTATGCCTTCTTCAAAAGATGATGGGTCTTGTTTTTGGTGGCGGGACATTGCGAATCTTTGAGACAATTCTCATAGATGTGGCTTCGGAAGCAAAACTTGCAGATGTAACCACACTTCATGACATCGTGCGGCGGTGACGTCTTGGCTTCTGACATGTCTGGAGACTTGAATCCACCTCACAAATTCACAAGCTAAGCCCGTCATTTACAACGTTACAATGTTGAATTTCCATTCGAGAATGGGCTGGTTTCCCAAGATATACACTGTAAAGTTGCAGCCTGGGCACTCCGGGCTGGCGGCGTGACCACAGTAGGCATGGATCCATTGGAATCACTTCGGGCCATCGTATCACCTAGGATTGAGAAAGAAGGGGTTTAATTTAAACCGGCTTTATTTTCACCCAATATTTTGATAGAAGATGGTCCTACTAGCATACCCCCATGATATTTGCATTCGAGGTACCTTTCAAAACCAAATCAGAATCCCCAACTCGGTCAGCTCCGTCACGAACTGGCACCACCTAGCCACCGGGTTGGCCAGAAACTTTGGGTACACCCCCGCTAAGACTTGTAAAGCCTGATGATTAATATCTGATAATCATATATAATCATGTTCATTGGTCGAGTCATGTCGAACCAACATTGAACAAATGATTCAAGCCTCCGGATCGTCTTCGAAGGCTTCCTCTTCCTCGCCCTCCTTGAAGTCATCGTCCGTGTTGTAGTCCTCTGCAGGTCCTGGCGGGCAAATGGGGCGACCATGGGAGATTTATTTCTTAATTATTCAGATCGATGGATGGCTGGGGCTAGAAATTAAAATCTAAAATATATGACATAATAAACATGTATCAAGGGTATGTAAGGGTCCTTCCACGGCAGATCCCATCGCCGCCATTGGTAGTGAAATGCCAATTCGCTCGAAAAGCTTTTTGAACTCCTGACTGCGGGGAACATGGGGCCGTTTTGCTGCACCAGCAAGTATGGTGATCAAGTTCCGGAGAAGCCACGCTTCCGTGTTGATCTCTGAACCTGAGTCAACGCAATGGGAGGTATAATTATATTAAAACTTTTGGGTTGCATGATTGCCGGTACAAAGTTCAGCGTTTCTTTTTGCTTGTAAGATACTCTTGGGCAAGGGTTTCCCACGAGGCCTGCAGTAAAAAAGGAATCTCCCCACCACATCTCGTAGCATTGCCAAAGATGGCCGCATACCTGAGGGCTTAATAGGTTTCATCAAGGGTTTGGGAACTTGACAGATTCTGATAGCGCAATAGAATTTCCAACATGCTTAAAAGCCAAGATGCCCAGTTCAGATACTAAAGGGCCCAGCAATTCATAGTTCTCGGACACTGTGTCTCGAGAAAGTTTGCTGTTGGCAAGGACAATTTGACCCTTTGTGGCCCTTTCAACAACAGCCTCAAGCTTCAACCATTCCTGGATGATTGGGCACTTGTCTGGTGAATCGGGGCCTGTCCCATCACTGCTCCCAGCCACCACCACCATGGCGACAAAAGGGTCACCTTTACTTAGCAGCTGAGTGAGGCTAAGATTGAGCCAGACCCTACCATCAGAATTATGGATTAAAAAAACAAATCGCTTCCCTCACAAGTCCGACGGGGAATCCCACCCAAGTTGGCGGCTGGCAGGCCTTGGCAGCAGCTTAGCACCAAGAACAAGTACCTGATGGAAAAGAATGCCTGCGCACACAACGCATTCACCTGGAACACCACACTCGGGGCGCACTGGAAGGCAAAGGGGCCCATAGAGATATCCCAAAAAAGTAGCTTGACCCCCAACAGCTACTGGATGGGCGACAGATGATCCATGTTGATTTGGAAGTGCTTGTGATTTCTTGTCGAATTGCCAAATCTCTACGAGGGCTCAATTTCTTGACGATTTTGGGATATATCAACGAATTTTGGATTTCCATGACGAAACCCCAAGGTATGGAAATAAACATAACGAATGGTTCTTCAGGTATATATATATATATATATCCATGACAGGACCCCATTTAATACTGTTTCGCCTAAGTTGTCGTCCAGGCCCCTTCCAACTTCAGCCGAGTAGCTCCGCATCGCACTTCGTCTCCCTCAGCGACCTGACGCCGAACTCGGGATGAACTCCCTGTGGAAGTGGAGATGAAGATGGCGTTGTTTTTGATGGGAACAGCTATGGAAAATTACCAATGGAAAGTTACCAATTGGTAAACTAACATAGCTATGTAATTGGTAAACAATTGAAGATTTACCAGAGGGTATATCATAATTGGAGGAACAAAAACATAACTTGTGGAAGTGAATATAAATGGAATAGTTATCATATTTCACTTGTATGAAATGTTGGGAAAATCATTCATCTCTTAAATTATCATATGGTTAAGATATGTTATGAGTCAAAAAAAAATGTCTTGCTGGCTAATGGATGGTTCCCCAAAATATGGAAATACCCTCTGGTAAACATACAAAAAGCTATTGAAAATGGCCATAGAAATAGTGGATTTACCTATTAAAAATGATGATTTTCCATAGTTACGTTAGTTTACCATTTGAAATTGGCTTTGAGCCATCCCCATATGTGCCGAAATACCATGGAAATGTTGGGCCACAAAAGGGGATGATTCCCCGAATCCAAGTCCCATGATTCCAGTGAAAACACGAGGTCACTAGAATTTACCGAATAAAACAGGTTTATTTTCAGCTAACCTGAACCGTTGTCACGAGTTGGGGGCTGGAAGACTATGTTCCTCTGACATGGGTGATTCTCAGGGTCTATGTTGGTGGGGATGGTATGTCTAGCTAATTCCGGTCTGACCTGTTGAGGAACCTGAGAGTTTGGAATACATTCAAATTCGTTGTGGCGTGGCGGAAACAAAAAATGCGAATTCACTGATGTTGATTTCTAGGGGTCTTTTTGCAGTGCTTGGGGTTTACAGTTTGCGCACCCTGAACCCCGGCCCCCACCACACAATGATGCAACATTGCAAGCAGGACAGGAGGCAAGACTTTTGCCAGGCAAGATGAGAAAATTGAAGGTTCGGTGGAAAACATATAAGACAAATAACATAGGTGTATAGGTAAACACTCCGATCGAAAGACATTCCCATACCGCTTCAATCAAGATCACCCGCCGTGCTCTGAAAAAAATGGAGCTTGCACCATGATCCTCATACCAATCGAATGCACAACTTTTCTGAGGATTGAAGGCCATTTCCAGCCTATTTCCAGATCATTATTACATATATGGGGTTTCCTAAAAACGGGTGGTATTTGAAAAGGGATGGTTTACTTGATGGAACATGCCATCTATAAATGCATGATTTGGGGTTACCCCTATTTTAGGAAACCTCCATATATGGTCTTGGACTAAGTATACCAGATCGGAGTTCAAAAAGATGGAACTAAATTTCGTGTTTTTTTTGAATGGTTAAACGTATTTTTTGGTTGGTGAATTCATTTTCCCATGCTGAACATCGACCTTTTCACAGGCCCCCCTGTATTCTCTGTTGGCTTTCGTCACCTCCTGATCGATGCCAGGAATCTTTTCACCCTCCTGGCCTCGCGAAGTACAGAGGGAGAGTTGAGGAAAGCTTCGACTTCACTGCTGGAAGATGTTGGAAATCCATTGTAAGTTCTGATATCCAACAGTGATACAGATGATACTGGTTGGTGGTTTCAACCCCTCTGAAAAATATGAGTTGATCAGTTGGGATGATTATTCCCAATATATGGACAAAACAAAAACATGTTCCAAACCACCAACCAGTATATAAACATACATACATTATAGCTATTGTAACAATGGAAATTTGGGGTTCATCTGCTCTGCGCAAATTCCACAACCTCCAGGGTGTCTGCTCTTGACGACTGAAGCGGACAAAAGACATCATGGGTTCACCACCCAAGTGAAGAAACAATCATTCGAGAAGTTCACATACTACTGATGGGTGGAATAATGAACTTATTTTCCATTTAATAATTTCAAACAAGTGGGGGACCTGTCTTTTGATCTAGCTTCAGTTTCATCCAACAATGCTTCATGCCAATTTATAGCCTTTGATTTCATGTCATAAAATGCAGGTCACTCAGGCCTTACTTTCTACGCGGGAACGGATCATGTTCGGACTCAATCGACACGATCTCAGGCGTTTGTAGGATTGTCACGTATCAAGTCCTCAAAGAAAAATACAAACAAGCACATAAAATAATACTACTTCTTGCTAGTTCCTATGCATTGCATCATATTTGGGTGTGTCTAAAAATAGGGTACCCCATGGTACGTACTGGTTTATCATCATGTTCCTTGTGAAAATGTTGTTTTTTTGGGGGGTTAGCCCATGACAAACCCATTTCCGGCCGACCCTGGGCCCCCAGGCTGCCATGGCCGATGATCTGAACATTTGGAAACTGATCCTGCGCGGCGCAACGCGGAAGGGTCGGTGCATGTGGTGAAATGGGGAATTGAATATGATTTGATGCGGATATGTTGTGTCTGTATGTATATATATATATTGTTATATGATGTATGTATACATATATATATATATATATATATATATAGAGGACATGTATATGATTTGGGTTTAATGATTGATGAGGATTTCATGGGAATACCATGGAGATTTGATGGGGATAAAAGCCAGCGATATCATGGGGAAATTTACGCCCCCCCCCCAGCATGGCCATTGAGTAGGGAACATCATTCGCTTCACCACTGGATCCATCCCCGGATAGATCATTGGCGAACCGTTGGAAAACCCATCCCTGGATAGATCATTTCTGAAAAGCCGAAAAGCCATTGCAGTTCTGGGAACGGCTTATGAGTCCGTGGTAGAAAATAACGATGCATCAACATCATATGGAATAACATGTGCTTAAAGCACAAGCGTGCGTATGGTTTTGGAACATCTGTGTTGACATGGATGGAATTTCGAAAGCAATAATAAATCATCATAAATCATAAACAACAAATATGCGTCACCCAGTCTTGACCATACGTATTTGCTAATCTAAGTGATTCTTTGTTAACATGAAAAAAAGCCCCAAAATTGTGTGACTGTTTCAACATGAAAAAAAGCCCCAAAATTTTATCCTAATTTAAGTGACTGTCTAAACATGAAAAAAAAACGGTTTTATGTTGGTTTATCATCTGGAAGATCAGCTGTTCACATCTGATGATATTTTTCTTGGATATAATTGTTGGATAAACACCTAACAACAATTTTGGATACCAACAAATCTGTTTATCATCGGTTCATTGCCAAAATTGGACCATGGTGAACTCTTGATTTTCCACCATCGATCCCCATGGTCCCGCCTTCAGCGCCAGATTTCCTCCCACATGATCACCTCACGGCAGCGGTGCCAAGAAACTCCCATCGTAGGCTAGGCGGATGATAAGTTCTATGTATACATATAAGCTATGTAAAATCCTCATATTCGCATATAATATATATATAATTATATATATATACATGTCCACAATGAACAAACCGTGAAATATATGGGAGTGCCCATCATCATTCATCATCTAAAAGCTGAATGGAACACCACAACAGAAACTTGAAGCCACAAACACCGGTAAGTATAGCTATAAGTACCATATAGTTATTGGAGACTTTTCAACCAACTTCAACTTAGCTATCGTAAACGGGGGCCCCACTTTGCAAGGCTGATGCAGTCCAGCTACCGTGGTAGTGAGTGTTCAAAATATGTGTCAATGTCCATCCCCTCCTGGCGCGGTCACGGCAAAGCAACCAACCGTTTTCCCCCGGTGAAACCGGGTGAACGACTGTTCCAGGCTGACGTTGCCAGTCAAAACATGCACATTTGGACATGACTTGGCTGTGTAGACACCGCAACATGGACAAACCCAGGTACCCCATGGTACCCCAACCACAATATGCACTGCCACCATTGCCGAATCAGTTCCTCTTCAGAGCCGCAGCGATTGGTGCGGCCTGTGACAGCGTTTGACAACAGGGGCATCCGGCATGATGAGATGGAGAAAAACAAAAAAGGCCCGCTTTGAGGCCTTGTGAAATATACCATCTATGGATCATCTATGCAATTAAGTAATAGTACATGATACTGTCTTTGCGGGACATCTATAAATACTGTTGACACCGTTCTGTACATGTTCAGATATTAGAACATTTATTGAAAACCTGAAAAAAGAACAAAACATAGATTAATCAACAACATGTGTTTTTGATTTAGCTGATCATTTGATCTTCATCTGCTACACCAAATCCCATATGCTCCATGGTGCTGGAAGATGAATCCCAACATTTACCCGAACAAAATCACCCAGTTTTGTAGGTAAATATACCAGCACCATGGTTCGCATATTATGCTGGTTGGTGGTATACCTACCCCTCTGAAAAATATGAAAGTCAGTTGGGTTCATGATTCCCAATATATGGAAAAATAATTCAAATGATCCAAACCACCAACCGCTGTACCCTCTGGTAATGATTAACATAGCTATTAACAATGGCCCAGTCGAAATACTGGATTTGTCCATTAAACATGGTGGATCTTTCCATAGTTTTTTGTATGTTTACCAGAGGGTAATCCCTATTCATGGCCATTTATAATCCCATTGGTTGCAGTCCCATTGGTTATAATCCCAATGGAAAATCCGAAAATCCTATGGAAAAACTATGGCTATGATCGGCCTGTTTACCAGAATATGGCTATGATCATGTTTACCAGAATATGGGTATGTTTACCAAAAAACGATGGAACATCACCATTTTTAATGAATAAATCACCATGTTTAATGGATAAATCACAATTTTTAATGAACATCACTATTTTTAGTGGTTAGAATCCCAATGGAAAATCCCTATGATAATCCAATGGAAAAACTATGGCTATATTACCATGAAATCACCATTTTCACCAGTAAAATCACCATGTAATATGGGTATGATCGGCCCATGAAACTTCTGCCAGTCATTTCCGCAGCGCAGCGCAGCTCGCCTCCGGTGTATCCATGACCTCGGTCTCACGAATCGAGAATCGACGACTGTTGTTGTGGCTCGATCAGGAAAAACAAGAGATGCAATTGTGGCTCAAAATAAAACCATCTAAAAACCATAGGAAACCCTAGGAAACCATATAAAAACCATCTAAAAACCATATAAAACCCTAGGCAAACATGATAAAACTTACAGTCATGGCCCTTTATATACCAGTTATAAGTACTGAAAAACACATTTATAGAATGTATAATTCCATAGAAATAACCAGTTAAAACCAATAGCCATGGCCATAACTGTACAAAAGCGAGTTGTGAAAGTTGAGACAATTGAGAAACACCCGTAAAGAATCTACTTGACCCGTAGAGGTAAACAGGAATTCACCGACATTCAAGCAACAGAACAGGTCGGACAAATCAAGCAACATAATTGAATGCGCAGGTCTTGCGGAAGACAAGCCTTGTGCCAAGAGACAAAGGTCACGCCAGAGGCAGCATGATGGAAAACTGGACAGTAGTTGTCCTTGGCAAGCCGGAGTTTGCTTGAGCCACACATCCCCAAGGAGCTTTGATAGAAAAATTGTCACTTAATCATAATTATAGTCATACTTAATTCATCATGTAATTTTGTGATAGATTTCGTGAATAATCATTAGTTAATCCCTTTTTCCCACTGAACACCCTCCAGATACCTTAGTTTTTTCGTATGGGCTTCACATTCGGAATGGCTTTAGGATGGGATTTAATTGGGCCTTCCAAGTTGCCAAGGCCGGATGGCTGAAGCACACATGGTTTCATGATGGCCTTATGTTTTCATACAAAAAATGATCATACACCATGAGTTATTACAGGATGGGGCCCCCAGTCGAGCTCGCGTTCAGAAACGCTTATTTCAGTGGCTGAATTTTATGGTTTATATGGTATAGCTATAGTTAATGGGGATTACCCTCTGGTTATTTAACATAGCCATGGAAGCCATGGCCCATTTACAGATGGTTTACCTGGGTTTACCTATTAATAGCATGGTGGATCTTTCCATGGCGAACTGTTAGTTATAACCAGAGGGTATATATAATGGTTTATAAACTTATAACTGACGGGTCCCATCCTGTAGGTGTCAACTGGTGTCAACTTCCGAAACTTCCGAAACATCTGACTTGTCAACATCTTTCTTACTACCATGAACTCACCAGCAGTTGCTGCCAAAATCATGCAACGTAACCTGCAAGGTTTCAGTCCATTTGGCGCCAAGTGTGCCGTTTCATGGATACCCAAACGTGTAATCAAACGTGGCTAGCTGGGAAATCCTTTTGTGAAATTCTAGGCTTTCGTCGAAAATCGGTGATTTACCACCCAAACATTTTTGATGAGGCTACTCTGCCGCGAAAACCTGCGAAAACGGTAACACCTCCACCAAAAACCCAGCAGTTAACTTCACCAAGGCTAACTAAATAAACCCACCCAAAACAAAACCATTAAATTTCAGCCTTATCTTACTGGTACATGCTATATAATTATATATATATACATTATTACATTATATATACCAAATTGGCTAAGAAAAAAATGATTTCCTGGCCAAGCGTCACTTAGGCACTGTACCATCTCAACCTGACGTGGTCACATCTGCTGCTGGCTGGTCATTTTAACGTTATCCGGAGAACCAAAAGTTTTAATTTACAAAATATAGCATGATGTAGCAACTCGCAAAAGAAAGCATATACATATATATTATAATAATATAGTTGTAATATGTTGTAATAGTGGTGAATTGGTTGAGATATAATGGGATTCACAATCCAGATACCTGATTTGGCTCTGTCGGAACATGAGGGGTATACCCATGAAATGGCCATAAGTCAGGACTGTTGTAGCGCTTAACATATCTTCAAAGGGCTGAATCCCAAATGTTTATTTAGGTGGGCTGTTGTTGCTTCTGGGAATATCTACATGAAACCACCCATTTCCCACAGAACATAGTGGGATGTTGCTGTAGTCGCTCGCTCAAACCAGTTGCTGGATCATCATCATCCCGATATCCCAGCCAGTTGTATTAGTCAGTGCCATACTTAAAGGAATGTCAATATTACAATCCATTAAAATCCAGCGTAGATGTCAGGTGTAGCAACATGTATCTGAACCACGGCTATAAAGTAGCAAACATCAACATATATCAACTTATATCAAGCATAAACCACACTTAACCTAGTAAACTAAACCAACTTAGCAATTGTTTGGGGGGAGGCTGATACATTGACATAACCATAGTCAGTAGTGAATTTATCTAAACATAGTTTAGGCATAATTATATAGCCAAGCAATAGTTTAGACATAACTATTTTATGTTCAACCCTTAGCCGTATATGTATACCCAAGTCACACATCATCAATTCAAACCCCAGGGATCATTATATAAAGTCTGGTTTTTATTAGTAATCAAAAACCATAGAATATAATCAACTATAATGTGATATTGATAACGATGGATCTAAACTCCATAATGCCATGACTATGGTGGTCTTCATGGTTCTTCATGGTATATCCCATCAAACCACCGCTATTTTAATTGTATCACATTTTTCCCAATTTAATTACCATTGAATTTAGTACATCACCACTTGAATTACCAGCATATCAATCACCGTTAATTTCCCAATAACTTGAATCCCAAGTAATATTCAAGTTCCATCAATTTCCCAGATTTATGGTATATTCGTATATCCCATTCAATCTCCCATTCCCTCACTTAGATGGGCCATGGAGTTAGTTAACTAGTCAGTAAATGGATTATTTCATTGGGATATATGGGATAACAAATCCCCAGTTATATTAACCACAGTTATGGCCATAAAAACCAGTTATAACTGGTTATTTCTATGGGATGAGATACATTCTATAAATGGGGTTTTGTCAGTACTTACAACTGATAAATGACCACAACTGTAAGTTTTATCATGTTTGCCTAGGGTTTTATATGGTTTTTAGATGTTCTTAACCAGGAATCGCGTTTTTCCCATGGCCCATCTAAGCACCGGAAAAAAGTCCTCGCCTGCAGACCGGCCTTTTCCAAGACCTGCTGAGCCGCATCGGCACCCATGCCCTGAGCGCTGGATCCACCATGGCCGGCGTTATGGGCTACCAGCCGAAATGATGAGTTAGTGCAAGGTGGTGCCCCAGTTCGTTAGATAAGTTGGGGTTCACATAACTCCCATTTCACTATGGTTTATGGCAGATATAACGAACTAGTTAATGGGGTTATTTCAACCAACTTATAACTGGGGGGGCACCATCCTGTGGGATCTAAGGACATTTTCATGATGAGTTAATATGATTTTCCATGGGTCTTAATGAGAATTTAGTTGACTAGGTTTAAGCATCTACCAATAACTTGGCTAAAAAATGCTGGGCTCAAACATGAAAAGTGGTGGTGTTACTCTCGAAAATAAGCATTTAACTAGGACAAATGATGAAAGGTAGTAGTTAGCGTTCAGTACGCAACGAGTGTACTGGGAGGCACCACCAAGAAAGCGAATAGATATTATCCAGGATCTACAACCCCTGAAACCTGAAAAATAACATGGAACCCCAATGTGGCAGTAGCCAATGGAATAACAATCTTCCAGACCGCAGTTTTGGTTTTTCATGGTACTTGGTCGGTACAAGATGGCCCCCCCCGAGTTACAAGTCGGTTTACGACCCCTATCAAGCATAGATATATCTACCATCAATTATATCTAATCTATGTTAATCTAGTTACAAACCAAATTACTTATCCAGAAAACCCCACTCTGCTCTGCGCAGTGCTTACATGGCCCCAAACTTTGTCGCTGGTTAAACATGTGAAAACATCACTATTTAGCAGTGAAAGTGGCTCAAATCATGTTGTTTACTGTGGAAACATATGCAACCCTTTACGTCGACATCATCAAACTTATTGGTGTTGCATAAACCTATATTTAAAAAAATGTGATACGACCCTCCTAAAATTGTTAATAACCTCACCGTCGTTTGGTCAAATGTTTTTGGGGAAACACTTGCTGGAGTTTCAAGTCTTTTACTGTACAATAAAAACAAAAATGGTTTTACAATCCTGTTGTTGTTTCCTTGCCATTAGAAAGGACTATTGCACATGCCGTTTGTTCAATGATTTTACAACGGTTTGGGACCAAACCTCATTGGAGGTCGCGCTCGCAGTTGAGGCAGCGCGAAGAAACACTTGGCCTTTTTGCGCCGGTCATTGGGATGGGAGAATTTACATGATCTTTAGGAGGGCTTGACGGGAATGGTGGAAACTTGTTGTTTTTTTTTAGTGTTTACAGAAAACGGCTCCACAGGCCGACCACTGCCAACCTAACATGATGTGATGATATTATCAGTAGATGGAACACGCAGTTACAATGAAAAAACATCATATGGAAAATCTGATTATTGCTATGAATCCTGATGAACATATGTTTTTATATCTCAAGTTTATATAAGCTTTTTGTGGGAAATCCCATTCATAAACAACTTCCATTTGGGGATGGTTTGTAGCACCCATTTTGCAACAACTTCCATGGAGATTTAAGTAAGGGATGGTTTGTTATTGGCTTCCCACGTTAGATTAAAAAAACGTTTGATGATGTCCAAAACACATGATGGGAAAGCTCAAGTAGAGTGGGAAATCTACATGGAACACCCTGATTTTCTCCACTATGACCATCTGATGTGGGTTTCCTGGATGTCTCGGCAGACTCTTTTCGTGATGATTCCACTTGACGCTCCACAACTAAATGAATGTAGAGTTATGCCACTCTATAGATACATGTTTTTTTTTACAAACCAGTAAGTTAACACAGACTCTGAGTCACATGAATTCTTGCAACTGCTATGTTAGTTGGGGGAATGGTACTTTTCGAGTGAGAACCAGTTTGCTAAGTGTGATGAACCACCAAGTATAGCCTCTGGTAATTTAACATAGTTATAGAAAATGGATAAACCTCGCCAATTTAAAGATGGTTTACCTATTCAAAATGAGGCTTTTCAATAGCTATATTAGACAACTATTCTAAATTGCCAGAGGGTACATGAACTAAAGTTATGCCACTTCATCTGCACTGTGCTTCGGGCTATGTCTCTGCAGCGCAAGGGCAGCAGTCACAGCCGCCGCGCCACCTAGAAAAAGCATGGCAACGGGCGTAAGGGATTTTGGATCATGGCTATTCAATATGCAATCCCTGCCCCCTAACATTAAACACATTTAAACACCCCGAGAACCCATAGTTTTTTGTGGGGAATTTACACACAATGGGATGTTCAATGTTAGGGGAATGGGGTTAGTCAACAAGTACTTGACAAGTACTTGGCATGCATCTTTGTCATTTTGTGATCTGACACTTTTGCTGTAAGAGTGTGTATTGAAACTTAGTGAAGGCACTAAAGGTGTAAGAATATGTGTATTATATATAGTATATGTGGCAAGACTGCTGGTCACTATTCCAAGGTGGGGGAATATCTAAAAATATCTATATACAAAGCAAGTTATGGTTTCAAACTGGGCTTCAATACAAGACCAGCAAACATCAGCAAGCATGGTGAAGGCAGGGACGACATACGCACATCCAACTGGGTGATTTCAGCTGTCCAAAGACAGCTAACACCTACCGCAAATTTATAAAGTCCGAGCCATATCTCAACATGTAACTTTTAATGTGGCAAAACTAATAGTTACACAATGTTTATTACGTACATACTATATATAATACTCACATATGTATACATATAATTACAATTCTATACATATATGCTATATGATATATGTACACTGCACACACTAATATAATCTAATATATGCATATATACGGTTCACAGATTGCCTTTCCTCCAAGTCACGCCACATCCGTCTTCGATCTCCCGACGTCGCCGGACGGCGTAGCACGGCCGGCGTCGCGTGCGCAGCGTGCGCAGCGCGGGGGATCACGGGGGCAGCGAAGAGGCGGCGGCCCAACATGACACCGGAGCAACAGCAGCTGCGGTGGTGGGGGATTGGATCTGAACATGTGGTGGTTTAAGAGTGTTTAATGATGTTTAATGGCCCTCACAGTGTTTAATGCTTAATGTGGTGCATCTAAAATCTGGTGAAAATGTGTTTAATGCTTTAACCGACCGAAATGGAGGACTTGCAACCGATCGAAATCGCGATTTCTGTGGCACCTTTGCAGCCGAACCCAGGTGGCACGACATCAGTTGAGACCTCCATTTTTTGTCAAGGGTAGTATTGAATGTTGTAGTCTCTGGGTATACCAGTTTTGCCCCAAAGAGTATATATAAGCATATGGAATATGTAATAGTATGTACATATGTATATAGATGTATGTCAGTGATGTATGACTTCAACACCTATAATCTTCCATCAAGCAGCCAGCTACGGTACCAGGAGCTTTAGCTCCAAATTGATGCACTTAGTCCAAACATGAGCCTTCTGAGCGCTTGCAAAACCCCTGTTGGTTAATAAATTAGCTTGGGGATTACTGGCACTCCCGTTCTTAACCAAACATTGGATTTTGTTTTTATATGTTCCAATTAGAAAGTGGTTAGTAACCATCAACAACCAGTAATGAACCATATATGGACTGGAATGTTCAATGCCATATATGGGTACAATTACCATTCATATACCATCAGCAACCATCAATAACAATTCATAAAACCATATCTGGAATGACATTGAAACAATGCCACTAATATGGTTAAACAAATTCTATTCCATATGATTAGTAAACGATCAATAAACCATCTATATATATATAAACATCAAAAACCATTCATAAACCATCAAATTTCAAAGGTTTCGTAAACCATCAACAATTAACCATCAAACTCGGCTAAGTTAGCCATATGATGGTTTGAAAACAGCATAGTTGGCTATAAACCCAGCCATTCATAAATCCAGCATAGTTGGCTAACTTACCATATGGTTTGTAAACCATCAATAAACCATTATATAATCAAACCATCCCCCCCGCGCGTCTGGCGCGTCCTCGCTACCGGGAGTGGGGAAGCCTGGAGACAACGACACCTCGAGATTTTTTGGGCACGGGTTAGGTGACGTGACCAGGGAGGATGGGATTTAATAGGCTTTAAAGGGATGTAAATGGGATTTATGTGTATATAATTATATATATATAAATTACAATAATTGTAATAATAAATAATCATAATAATACTAGTGATAATAATGATAATATAATAATCATAATACAAGTATGATTTTTCTTTAAAACAAAAACATATGTATATATATATATGTCGATATATGATATATGCTTTGGAGTTCAAACATGGCTTGCTGGAAAATCCACCATTCTCAGATTGTGTCCCCAGCGAACTCAACTTCCATTTTTGCTGGGGATTTCCCAGTTTACCTCACTGTTTCTGGGCACATGACAATAATTCACTAAGCTGAAGTAAAGCCAACAAAAATGGAGACTTCCCCTAATTGTAATCATGATTCCAGTGAGGGTCACAGCGTGAGGTCACACCGTGGCGCCCCAGTTCGTGGCTGCCGAGTTGGTGGAAGCGGCTAGGCCAATTGCTGGGTTTATGGTGGTTGAAAAGAAAGCAAAATGGGTCAACATCAAACAACAAATGTCACCGGGTTTGTCTCAAAAATTCATGTAGAGAGTAATTATCCTCAATACATATAGGGTATCCTGAAAAACGTCCTCAATATGTGTATATATGTATATACACGTTAATATACACAGGGTATCCCCCATTTCAATGGTCATTTACAGGGTGAAATGATCCAAACATTTTCATACCCACAGCCGCGGGGGGACAAAATTTGCCAGCTCGCCGGGTAACGCGTTCCTGGGAACCCTTACGGGAGAACTGCCAAGAGTGGAGTCCTCATCCAAACGCCGCATGAACTTCCGGAAGCTTTGCTTGACATGTTGACCTCGTGCGGAAGTGCACCGTTGTGGCTATGGTTATTTATTATATAGTTATTACTGGTTCTTTCTATGGGATTTATGCATTCTATAAATGTGGTTTTAAGATGTTTTAAGTATTTCCAACTGGTAAAGGGCCATCACTGTAGGGTTTTTATATATATATATAATGTATATAGAAAGTTAAACAGGCTGTTAAAGGGGATTATAAAATATTATAAATTATAAACAAACTTATAACCTGGGGCACCAGCTTGTGAGTCCTGTTGGTCTGTTGATTTTTTCGGCGAATGTCAACCCCGGATTTTGCTAAACCATGGTTTATTAATTAGGGGTGGTACTCTTCCAATAGCCATTTCATCTAGTACTTTTTTTCATCGTATCCCTCCAACTAAGCAACCGTTTGGGGTTTATTAATCCAGGGTTGACATTACTGGTTTACCTTCACTTATCCAACTCTAGTTCGAATAAAAAATATGAGTTTGTAAATGGGGGGGGGTTTGTTTGTTTTTGCCATTTCACTAGCAAATGTTCATTGCTACCAGCTAGATTTCTTCATAAACTAGCCGTAGTAACGAGGTGATGTTTACTGTGTTTACTATGACTCCCACATATTTTGGTACATCTACAGAGAGGATACTGCCGCTACCACGCTACATTCTGCTACATTTGCCTGCTCTGTTGGTTTTCACACTGCTATCTCACAGCTCAAGTTCACATGTGTCCTTTCTCGGTATGGCAAGTGGCAAGCAAACAAATCTCAGCATATCGACAATGTGCCACACCAAGCAAAGCACAGCAATCAGTTGAGTGCTGCAATCTTTAAACATAGGCTGTTCCTAGGCGTTTATGTCCTTCAGGCAGTCTAGGCCTGTAGCATGATGGAACCATGGATTTTTGCAGTTTTCCAAGGTGTTTATTTGCACACGGTATTGCTAAACCTGAGTGCAAGATACTGCCCTTGGAACCGACATGAAAAAGTGCAGTTCGACTTAAGGACTACAAGGGTTGCCCATACATGCCACAAGGCCCTGCAAACTTAGCCACAAGTAGAGCGACGAGATCTGGAACATCAGGTGTGCTGTTCCTAGGTCTTCATGTGCTGCTCGCAACCGTGGCACCAAATGCAACACGAGGGAACCACAGTTTGCTGTTTCAAGGCAGCATGTGTCGCCACAACAGGCTTAAGCTGTGGTGCACAAATGGAAGCCGCTCCTTGACATCTGCAGAACTGAATACTGCCGCTACCGCGCTACATTCTGCTACATTTGCCTGTTCTGTTGGTTTTCACACTGCTATCTCAAAGCTCAAGTTCACATGTGTCCTTTCTTGGTATGGCAAGTGGCAAGCAAACAAATCTCAGCATATCGACAATGTGCCACACCAAGCAAAGCACAGCAATCAGTTGAGTGCTGCAATCTTTAAACATAGGCTGTTCCTAGGCGTTTATGTCCTTCAGGCAGTCTAGGCCTGTAGCATGATGGAACCATGGATTTTTGCAGTTTTCCAAGGTGTTTATTTGCACACGGTATTGCTAAACCTGAGTGCAAGATACTGTCCTTGGAACCGATGTGAAAAAGTGCAGTTCGACTTAAGGACTACAAGGGTTGCCCATACATGCCACACAGCCCTGGAAACTTAGCCACAAGTAGAGCGACGAGATCTGGAACATCAGGTGTGCTGTTCCTAGGTCTTCATGTGCTGCTCGCAACCGTGGCACCAAATGCAACACGAGGGAACCACGGTTTGCTGTTTCAAGGCAGCATGTGTCGCCACAACAGGCTTAAGCTGTGGTGCACAGATGGAAGCGGCTCCTTGACATCTGCAGAACTGGATACTGCCGCTACCGCGCTACATTCTGCTACATTTGCCTGTTCTGTTGGTTTTCACACTGCTATCTCACAGCTCAAGCTCACATGTGTTCTTTCTTGGTATGGCAAGCAAACAAATCTCAGCATATCGACAATGTGCCCACCAAGCAAAGCACAGCAATCAGTTGAGTGCTGCAATCTTTAAACATAGGCTGTTCCTAGGCGTTTATGTCCTTCAGGCAGTGTAGGCCTGTAGCATGATGGAACCATGGATTTTTGCAGTTTTCCAAGGTGTTTATTTGCACACGGTATTGCTGAACCTGAGTGCAAGATACTGTCCTTGGAACCGATGTGAAAAAGTGCAGTTCGACTTAAGGACTACAAGGGTTGCCCATACATGCCACAAGGCCCTGCAAACTTAGCCACAAGTAGAGCGACGAGATCTGGAACATCAGGTGTGCTGTTCCTAGGTCTTCATGTGCTGCTCGCAACCGTGGCACCAAATGTAACGAGGGAACCACGGTTTGCTGTTTCAAGGCAGCATGTGTCGCCACAACAGGCTTAAGCTGTGGTGCACAGATGGAAGCGGCTCCTTGACATCTGCAGAACTGGATACTGCCGCTACCGCGCTACATTCTGCTACATTTGCCTGCTCTGTTGGTTTTCACACTGCTATCTCACAGCCCAAGTTCACATGTGTCCTTTCTTGGTATGGCAAGCAAACAAATCTCAGCATATCGACAATGTGCCACACCAAGCAAAGCACAGCAACCAGTTGAGTGCTGCAATCTTTAAACATAGTCTGTTCCTAGGCGTTTATGTCCTTCAGGCAGTGTAGGCCTGTAGCATGATGGAACCATGGATTTTTGCAGTTTTCCAAGGTGTTTATTTGCACACGGTATTGCTGAACCTGAGTGCATGATACTGTCCTTGGAACCGATGTGAAAAAGTGCCGTTCGACTTAAGGACTACAAGGGTTGCCCATACATGCCACAAGGCCCTGCAAACTTAGCCACAAGTAGAGCGACGAGATCTGGAACATCAGGTGTGCTGTTCCTAGGTCTTCATGTGCTGCTCGCAACCGTGGCACCAAATGCAACACGAGGGAACCACGGTTTGCTGTTTCAAGGCAGCATGTGTCGCCACAACAGGCTTAAGCTGTGGTGCACAGATGGAAGCGGCTCCTTGACATCTGCAGAACTGGATACTGCCGCTACCGCGCTACATTCTGCTACATTTGCCTGTTCTGTTGGTTTTCACACTGCTAT